CCCTCCACTCAGCTCATCCGTGAGTTCACCCAAGTAATCTCCTAATGGCGGATCATACTGTCGAGGGCTACTCACATAGATGACGCTGTCCGTATCGTAATACAGCACTCGTCTCTCGAGCTTTTCGAGCACACTGTAGAGTTTGAGCCTGACCCAGCATGTAGTAAATGTAGCTAAGTAGATGTTCGTTTTATTGTCTTCGGGTTGACATTCTTGTTTATATTGCCATTCTATATGAATCATATCATTCGTCAGTATATGGAAATTTAGAGGTTCTTTCGTCGGATCGGCAAACAACTGGAAGAAGAGGTTGGCCTGTAGTTCGTGAAAGAACTCTGTCTGGCGCATATTGAGTCTCTGACCAAACTTACCCCAAAAGCTATTGAGACATAATTTAGCCAGAGCTCTCAAACCCGGGTTCTTCGAGATGTTTGCCCGATTCAACGAAACTCCCTCTTTCTGTAAGTATTGAGACACATAATTTGTCATGTCTTGCTCACTGTGTATCCAGTCAGGAGAACCGCTTGCCTCTTGCTTAAGCTTTAACATGTGTTTATGTAATTGGCAAACAGCCCCCCTGATCTGGTCTTTGGGTCATATTGTGTAGATTCCTCCCAGTGGTATACTTCGTAAGTCTTTTTAATTTGATATCCTAATTTAACGGCCGTTTGAATCTCCGGAGTACACCACGTACAAGTCAACTCTCTTTCTTGTTCAGAACATGCACATGGGTTTTGATATTCAGTATCGGCGCAGGCCCTACATAGAGGAAATTTCAACTTGTTATTTGAGCAATACGGTAGCACGGGATGGTATAATCCTCTAGGTGGTAGTATTTTAACCTTAGCTATACCGAAATAGCTCTTGATATCTTTAAAATCTTTGGTTATGATGGTGGGGTGATGGACGGGATATTGACAATACTTATTCACCCATGGATGCAAGCTCGTGAAATCCTCTTACTTGATTTTTCCTGTTCGTCCGCTATGTAATAAACTTGACTTGCATTGGTGCGACCCCCGAAGAAACTTTCCCTCGGGTCTAACCTATCAATTATATCTAAGCTTTCTACGAATTGTTTCAGTTCTTTTGTTTTTTGAATTTGTGGTCCCAAATGCAAATATTATTTCCCTTATTTAAAGCATGCTGAATTTTGACGTTTTCTGTACACGCCACCCATTCTAACCATTGTATGGACGCTTCGCTATATTGATCATTATAACCACTAGGAGGAATTATCGCTATGGGTGTCCTTATAAATTCTGTCTCAGTTACTTTCCCACCCGTGAGTTTAGTTTCGAGGAACCATTCGTTTCCGCGCAACACATAAAGCTTTCCGTGTATTAATTTTTAAGGTATCCAATCATCACTGCGATTTAATTTTACTTTCCATTCTTCATCTAAAAATTTGGTTCTAAAGACATTCATGCAAACGGAAGCTATGGTCACGGAATCGAATGGATCCACGGCTCCGATCCCCATTTTCTCTTTATTTCCTTTTTCGTTCACCATCTCTATTCTTTCGCCCGTAGCACTCATTAACAACTCTCTAAATTTCAAACACGCTTGTCTTAAAATATCTACATCACTCCTACAATAATCTAATATTTCTTTTCTAAAATCAAACACGTCGTCCTTTCTCTCACTCAACCACAGTAACAATTCAGCTCTCTCTTTCTCACTCATAAAAACCTGACCATAACACTGAGCATCTAGGTACGTGCCTACATAATTCTGATTCTCGCTAGTATTGAAGTAATAGGGAACCTACCTTTCTTTAATTCAGTCAATCCAAAAGCCTTAGGGAGGGCGGACAATTTCATAGGTAAAACATTCAATCTGTCAATCACTTTGATATGTAAATCCGACTCTATTGTCATATACATAATTTTGGAGCCACTGTAAATAATCTTTTCCGGTCTCATGCATTGGTCTATTAAGTACTATAACAGAAAATAACCGTCGTTTCGCCAATTTTTACTGCAGTGTCGGCTCCTTCGAACGTGACTTCTCTGAATCCACATTTAACCGGACACGGTCCTGGGTCTTCATTTTCATGTAGCTCAGAGTTGTAACATTCGTCGCACCGTGAACCGCATTTTTTAAAATATTGATTCGGGGGTCAATGTTCTATCGATACATTTTGGACACACAGTATGTGCTACTACAAAATTGGGCTTTTCAACACCAAGACGATTTACAATGTTGACATTTGAAGCAAGATTTACATACCTCTTGTGATTGACAGTCTCTATAATCTCGTTTTCTACTCGCGCTACATATCCATTTTCACATTTTGACACTTTATCTTGACTTCATTCAAAATCAAAAAATATATATTTAGAATTGTATTGTTCCTTGGCTGGCGTGGCTCTCAGATAACATAAATGTCCTTCCATTACATATTGTTCGCATGACGTACACAGGTATTCTCCACACTCATGGTCTTCATTCTTCCTTTTATCGGTTCTTAATACTTTATAACAGGTAGGGCATTTCCAGTATTTTTGACACTGTGTAAGTCCGCTGGGTTTTCCTTTACATTTTCCTTTTCTATGTACTGGTACTGTTTTATGTTGTTGAAAACATTTGTCTGATCTGCATGTCATGTTACAGTCTGTGCACTTGACTATATTTTCTGTTTCCGGGCAGTTATCTGTCTTACATACTTTACAGGATGTTTTACACTGGTGCCTTTCTCTGTTGTTGTAGTGTTTGAGGCATTGGTCGCAGAAATACATTGCGCTGAAGAAGCCAGTAATGCTGGTAATGGCGTGAAAGTGGTCGTCGTCCATTAGGTACAGGTAAATACATGGACACTCGTCCTTACTTTGGCTAGTTATGAACTTGTTGTCCAGTCTGGCACTGACCACCATCACGCGCACTCCCAACACTTCTTCAAACGCCTCTATGTCATTTAAACTGGCGGGACGATCTAAGGGCAATCCGGCTAGTTGACTGATGGATACCGCTTATTGTATCTGTTCATCTCTTCTCTTTTTAGTGAGTTTCTGGTAGTAGTTGTTTGGAACTTTTTTGTGTTATAGTATAAGTTGTAGATTAGATTTCTTTTGACGTTTTTTAGCAATCTCTTTCCATTCTTCCGGTGTGCATCTATTCAACTTCGCCAAACTTACCCTAATTGCCCTTGCCATACATAATTGGTCATCATTTTCGATGGTCACTATAGATGTTTTCAACTTTAATGAATTGCTCTTGCCTTTTAGTTCGGTAATTCTTCGCCTTGCTCCTCCTTTTGGTAAATCGATAGTGCCTATGGAAATGTAAAAAAATTCATCAATGGATAACTCTTGGTTGCTGTTGAGTACTTTTTTAATAATTTCCATCACTTTATCGGCGGTCAACTGGTCCCAGGGCTGGCGAGGAACTATGATAGGATCGTTTTATCCTTGGTGATGAATGACTACACGGCCTAAATCGTTCCCCGCCAAATTGCCCCGGGTTTCTTCCAACACATCTTCCAACATCCGGTTTAGTCCTTGTCTCACATCCTGTAGCTGGAGTCCATAATGTTGTTTGTCAATTTTGACCTTATAAGTCCTGTCTATGGCCGCATTTTTAGCGTACGTCTTTTCTGATTTCTTCCTGATGGTATACTGGAGCTCCCATGGGGCGTCGGGTTTTTGAGACGGTCCCTGTTGAGGATCATCCCCACCTCCTATCATGACTGACAACTGAGGGCTCCACTCCCCATCGTCCACACAGGCAGTTGCCATCTCATCCATTTCTTCATCAAATAATAATGCTTTCACTGCACCCTCAATTTCCTCTTGCTCTCTTAAATACTCTAGTGCCATATCTAAATTTTCCATATTTTCTTGGTTCTGTAATGTACCGCCTAAACTTTAAAGTATACTTTCCAGTTCTTCATTCACAAAGTTATCTCCATATTGTGGGTTCCTTAGCTGAAAAAGCCGAAACCGCACCCCTGGGAATCCTGTATACCCCAAGTCGCCGCAAAATTCATCAGCTCATCTGCGTCGGTAAACGTATTCACGATAATATCAAAGTGTTCCATATTACTGGTATGAATTCTAAAGTTAGAATGACAAAGTGTGCTCATGCGCGTTCTTATATACTATCCACTGAGCGAACGTCGTCTATTTTTAGTAAGAACGTCATCGTTCTCCATTTTGATTGGCTAATTCGCTCATATGTAAATAGAAGCTAAACGTAGTGACGACTTTAAGGGGATTTACTTTAACATTTCAATAGGCCATTGTTGGTGTTTCCGTCCCTAAATAAACACACGCCAGACATTGTGGCGACTTTAAGGGGATTAACTTTGACATGTTTTCTTTTCATTGTGGAAAATCGTCCTTAAATAAATAAACGCTCCTTATATATATTTCATATATATTTATTTTTATCTGTAATATATTTTGACATGTTATAATTATTTTTTTTCACTTATATTGTTCAACAATTTATTAACTTATACTGTTTGATAATTTTTGATAATAAAATAAAACTTTTATCTCTGTAATAATTGGTCATCTCTTCGTTGAGGGCTGAGCACCTGACCCTCAATGTGCGCGACCACGCCCTAAATCGTGTATACAAGTCAGCTCTGTATACTTCCGGGAGATAAAAATAGAATAATAATATCATTTTAAAATTAAACGTCATTCTAAAAATAGAACGGTGATGTCATTCTAAACAGATGATGTCCTTCTAAATATACAAGCCTTTCTAAACATAAACAGATAATGTCATTCTAAAAATGAAACGATGATGTCATTCTTAAAAAAAGAATCCAAAATGGCCGCCGCGCGTCTGTTATTCAACACGGCGCGGCGCATGTGTAGAAAGGTAATTTCTTCTATGCAAATGAGTTACTATTTATAGAAAACAAAATGGCCACCGCGCTTGCGCAGTCTTGGGGGTAAAGATACCTCTATACTACTACTGTTTTTCAATCCAATTTATGAATCATTTTCATCACAGTGTTAAATGAAACGATTTGTTTTTATTCTTAGGAACAAAGCAAGTTTAGCGTACCTCCTGATCAACGCACTTTTTATCACAGTTATATATTTCCTGCAACAATCAAACGTGGACACAGGGGGAGGGTTATCAGTGCGCATTGAATGTGGGAACGGGGATGAGTTGGTGCTTGAACCGATAAGTTTGGCATTCACTGCTGTGGCTGGGATTCTCTTAGTAAACCTTTTTTCATTACCTAACATTTATTGCGTTCTCTGTAATAAATTTTACTAACACAGATTGCATGATACCAACCACAAAAGAGACACATGCAATCTAGCATGTGTGCTATTAGAGCCATATGTTACATGAAAGATTTATTTAAATACTTAATGAATTATATTTAAATGAACTCATAAACAGCAGAACAACAAAAGCTTTATTATAATTATAGCATATTTAGGCTTAAATATTTAATCATATGCTACTTTATGTGAATTTTGTTTCAGGCAATTCAGTTTGTGTGTATGTTAATACATAGGTCAAAAACGTTTTTGCAAATTAATTCGATAACAGAGATAAAGCAAGATGAAGTGGATAAATATGTTAAAATGTTTTTCTACGATGCCGCAAAAGAAGTGATGAATGTAAGTTTTCGTGGAGTTTGATTTTTTTTCATACTTGCTATTAGCTTAAAGGAACGGACAAATAATAAATACAAAGTGCATAATGCGTACACGTTTGACAATGAATCAAATATAACACTGGTATATCTTAACGTAGAAGCTGTGCCCCTATGATAATGTTTCAATATAGCTGTAATAGTGACACAATTTAACATAGCTAATTCGATAATGTTTATTCATTCCGGTCATCATTTTATTGAATAAATATATTAGTGATTTTTTTAATTTGGATACATCGACAATTGTTCTGTCAGTCATTAATCGTTAATTTCTCGTTGTTACCATTTTAGTTTGTAGTATGCTCAGTAAGAGATTCTTGCTTTTTTCTCTTGTTTTCTTTCTTTTCTTTCATTCTGTTACTTTATTGTTATCTTTTTTTTACAAGGAGAAGCCAGAGAAAGAAGACATTGAACCTGTCGCGGAAGAAAAAAAGAAACCGAAAGATTCTCTGAAACAATTTATAGCGAAAAATGTCTTGTAAATATAATCAACTTATCGACACCTTAGTGCAAAAAGGTCTTAGCGGACGGTAGAATTTAGAAGTACAACACAATAATTAAAACTTAATCAAATCAAGCAAATCTTAATGCTTAAATGCTACTATTTTCTGAAGGATATGACATGTTTTATTTTTTGTAATTCTTGCTGTACATACCTCCCACAATGACAGGTGACATATATCCCAATAACCTCCTGATAATGTGTTTACTTTAATGATTGAAATTCCAGATTAACTACAGCTAAATTGTAAACAAAATAGTAAGATGGAGAAAGGTGGATGTTGAAAGATTCTGAGAAGCCCAAAATTACTCAGAAAATGGTTATAGACAAAACAGTTTTGAAAAGTGAAGGAATTTCCGACATTACTCATAAAGGAGAACAAATTTCCACATAAGACCAAAGTACAGTACAGGCTTTATTGTGCTCAGTAATTCCATTCATTCAAGGAAATGTTAAATTCCTAGATGTTCTATCCACGGCCGAATCGTTTGGTCAACCTCTTAAACAATCTCCTTAATTGGTCAATACCAACACATATAGCATTTAAAATATCCAAGTAATAATAGTGTGAATTTTGTAAGGGATACCTTTGAAGTGAAGTGATTCATACTATATAGAGATATGGTCTGAATGCAATTGTTGTATTGCTTTGAAAACTGTTAAGCATATCTTTAATAAGTGTTGTACAACTAAATACTACCGTTTGTTGAGGTCTTAATGAGTTAACTCATTTATCTAATTTAAGAAGTTAACGCATTGCTGCAGTAAGACGACGGTATTATATATATGTATACTGGAGTTAACTTAGAGGCAAAAATGGTATTTTAAGAAATTTTAAACGGATATATGATTCAATATTAAATAAATAATCAAAATATTAACTTGATCTTGATTTACTTTATGATAAACTTTTTATCTTGTTGATATGGTTTTTTTTCAATAAATTAATGAAAGATCTTGATTAAAACCAATTAATGCCTAATAAAAGGAACTACAGTCCGGTTAAAAACTCTGAACATATAAAATGTATTTTTTGCACACATCAATAAGGGCTTTAGTATCGGAACGATATGAAGTAGAAAATCAATAAATAAACTAAAATTAGTTTAGAAATCATACGTTTTGGATTTAATAGGTCTGATTTGAAGTTTTTTACACAATTTATTTCCAATTTATGTATCTGGCAAAACGGAGTGTACGAATGATCTGATATTTTGCATATGTGTTATTTGTGCAGACGAATATCAAATGGTACGTAAATGTTGAAAAAATATTTCAAGTCCTTTCATGCAAAAAATCCTGAATGGAGTCCTTTTAATACGTTATTATCATGTCAATAAGTGAATGTTATATTTCATTATTTCAGAGAGAAGCTGAACGAAGCACGTGATTTAGCATCCGCTTCTCATAAGGAAAACATAGACATGAAAGTTGCTGATGGTATCAAAGCTACTTCAAGCACTAACAAAGATTCAAAGAATAAATTTAGGAAGACAGTGTCATCAGTTATCATTAATATGAGCCAAGAAAAGAAACAAAAGTTATTAGAAAATGATAGGTAACGAGGCATACTGTGATAGTGTTTGAATAATTTACCTTTAAAATTGAACATAAATCAATTATGTGAACAATGGATTAGTATGTCCAGTGAAACAATAAATAGCAAATGACAGTATTAGGATTTTCATATAGTATCCGTAATCTTAATTAAACCAAAATTGTCAAAATTAAACCAGTTCTGATTATATAAATATCAATGTTTTTTATATTTAACAGAATAAACATTGTATTTAAAGCCAACTGATAATCATCCCTGCCATTATCAAAAACTGCTAATTTTATGGTCAATACGAAAACTAATACAGCTTGAATTTTCAAGTGCAAATTATATGTAGATTTGTAATTTTGTGTTCAAACGTTTAATGCGGGGGTATATTTTTTAATTTTAGGTTTTAAAACAATTATTTTTTCTTTCCCTAACATAGCTTCATACAATTGGAAAAGTGCCTTTTAAAGGCAGCAGAAAGAAGTGGAGCTGTGCAACCACAAAATGGTGCAATCAATGTTAATGGACCAAACCATGACAAATTTTTGGATGGTAAAGACGACGATGAAGCAAAACAAAGAAAAATGCAAATAGTTGTCGACGTTTTTCAGTCCTCAGCTCCTAGTAGAGCCAACGATTCGACAATAAGTCAGCAGACTACAGCCTGATAGACTTTTAAAAAAAACATGAAACAAAATTTTTTTAGAAGTGTTCTTTTATATCAGTGTAACAAATGTATCCAAGTAATTTATTCATTAAAGCAGGCAGGATATAAACTTTCGAGATGACCAAATACAACGTTTACTTCCTAAACAGTCAAGTTGTCATGAAATGTATACGATCTATAAATATTACAGAATAAGGTTTTAAATGATCCATTCAATGATGAATGAGAAAATGTATATACTGATGAAGATAAATCTTTTATTTACGTTACAAGAAAGTTATTCTATAACAAGACGTATTTTATATTTTTTGCTGCGCATAATGTAGAATTTTAACATAACGACTAATCAAAACTATTGGTTTACGAATTTTCCAAGCTTTTATGTGCAAAATCAGTAATACATGTGTTTGAGGCCTTTATTAATACTTAACATCTTCACAATTAATGTGTTGCGGCAAGGAAGTCTCCTGACAGTCTTAGTAAGTATGCAAGCCCGATCTCGCCTATATATAACTTTGTGTTATGAAAAATAAAATCCGTATTCGTTGCTTTAAATTGTGCTTTTGGTTGAATATTTGACCTTCATTATGCTTTCATATAATGTTTAAGTTCTTGTTCATTAAATGTATATTTTCATCATGCCTTTTGTTTTAATTTGTAATTGTTGTGTTGTAAGAAAAGGAATGATTTAGATTACCTTACAATTTTTATGCCTCCGCCATTAAATGGCCAGGGGCCGTATTCACAACTGATCTTAAGTTATTTCTTAAGTAAAACATAAGTTGAAAAAAAATCTTAGCTAAGGATTTTTTTTATCTTAAACTTAAGTCATATCCAGAAACTGACTTAAGTAAAACTAACCCATGATTTTCTTAAGTTTAAGAAATATCTTAAGCAGTAAATATTTCATTTAAAAACAATCTTAAGTTGGTTGCTAATGAAAGTGGGTTTTCCGTTACTTAAATTAATAACGGAAGTGCTCTTCATTGTCTGAAATTAAAACCGGGTGTTTATACGCTGTCAAATCGAGCTGAAAACATGTCGAAGTACCATATAAACCTAAAAGATGTAGAATATGTGGAAAGGATGGCAACATGAATTATAAAATGAAAATCAATATCTAATTAATCTATATTAAGTTTTATAGTCTTAAAAGGGAAACACGTTGGGTCAAATTGATACTCCATTTATGTTATTTTTCAAGGTCATGGCCTATGTATTGACAAAAACCAATAGCACATATAAGATGATTGAACTTGAGGGGATAGGCTAGCCATTACATCACTTGAAGCTTAAAGGATAAAAAATTAAATAATGGAGGGGGTGCAGAAGACGCTTCAGTAAAGTGACTTGCAAAGGTCATGGACTTAAATTTGATTTGTTTAAATAAATGTATGAAGCCCATGGTAAAGGTAGAATTTATGAATGCATGGAAAGTTTAACCTTGTACAGACAGATGGCTACAATTTCATAATTTTCATTGAAATGTTAAAATAATACAAAAAGGCATGTAAATAATGTAAATAACATTTCATGCTTTTTAGCGTTTGTGCTTCTAAATCACATAGACTGTGTGTATATAAGTCACAAATTGTTATTTTTTATTATTTATTCCCTTTTAATTGCATTATGAAATGTAAAACTTGAAATGAACATTGAACATTGAATATTTTTATTTTATTTACATCACACATACATGTTAGAACAAAATATATATATAGAAGCTCTGACAAATTATATAGCCAATGCGTTCTATTTTTAACATTATGATAGTTCTTTCACTGCAGATTGTTTATATACATACTGAAATCTGTCGACGTAGTAGTCTAGAAGATTAAGAGGTATCGAAGCTTATATCTCCAGTGCTGCAGTTTTGACTCTGTTCGTATTTATACAGTATATTTCATTCAAATGCTTACAAATTCTAAACAATTTTATGAATGGTTAAAGAATAGCAACAAGACAAATATGATCGAGCTGTCAGAGGAGCAGTGAACTCCAGTCTTCTCAGTGAATATCTGGATAGTGAACTACATATTTTCCTCAAAAATAGATAATTTGAAAAACGTCACTTTGACCTTTGACTTAGACACTGTGTCCACATTTCATAACTGCATTCTTGAACTTAATAATCTTATTAAAAATATTAACAAAGGTCATGATGACCCACACCACGAACTTTAGACCCAAAATAAGTACATGTATCATGGCAGGTACAACTCGTCATGGTTAAATCTGGTACATACGATTTGTCAAAGTCTGAAGTTACTCAGTAAATGCTGTTTTAATGGCTAGTTTTATGTTTGGTTATCACAAGTCACAGTGACTTTGCCCTTTTAACCTGAAAATGAGGGGTGCAGGTTGAACTTATCAAGGTTCATCTACATATGAAGTTTCGATGTAATAAATTTTTAAGTATTAAAAGTTTATTTCTTGCATATCAGACAGGTTTATCTACCGTTTACACCGGTGCTAGAAAAACCTGCCTGACACCCTCCATGTTAGACAACTCGCGTGCTTTAAATGACATCATTGCCGCGCGCCTTTAATGAATGAATTGCGTTATAAGGATGACATCACTTTCCCGTTATGAAGTTGTAAGTTCATACGCTATAATAAGAACAAGAGGGCCATGATGGTCCTGGAATCGCTCGCCCGTGTATAGGCCCACGAGGCGGGGTAAATTTTAACCCTAGGGCTTTTATTTAAACCAGCTTGATAAACACCCATAAGTAGATGTTTCATGATAAATATATAAGTTGTATCTCTTTTGAGTTTTCATAAGAATATTTTTTATTTGCTATACACATAAAGGATAAAGCAACTCTAGCTCTTTGTTTTATTTTATTTTATTTTTAATTGTTTACTATACACAAATAAGGAAAATCTATGAAACCTGTGATGGCGCAAGTTTTAACCCGATGGCTTTTATTTGTACGAAAACTTGGTAGACACCCACTAGAAGATTTCCCATGCTTAATATCTAAGCTCAAGCTCTTTGTTTTTTTTATTTAAAGAAGATTTTCTAAGTTTTTATTATGTACAAAGAAGAAAAATCAATGACCCCCGGGGCGGTGGCAATATTGGCATTTTTTTTAAGTTGACAACTAAAGAAACATTCCTGTGAACTTTGGATGAAATAGACTTAGCGGTCTATGAGGAGATGTCGTTTACAGTAAAATTTTACGACGGACGCCGGACGAAAAGCGATCACAATAGCACACCATGTCACTTTGTGACAGGTGAGCTAAAAAATTGGGGAAAGAAAATATCAGTTTTCGTTATTTATGTTCTGAAATTAATTGATATGCTGTATGCAATTAAAAAAAATCAAACACCGGCTGTCGATACAGACGGGAATATCTAGCTCTCGGGAACTGTTTAGCAGAGCCTTCTTACCGCCGTAAACAGTTACCCTCGAGCTAGATAGTCCGGTCTGTACCAGCAACCAGTGTAAGATTCTTATAGTCTATAATTAAAATTAACAAAACCAACAGGTCAGTAATGAGAATAACATTCCAATTTTTTCTTCTATAAAAAGTGGAGCTAATAATCTTACTGAAAAAAATACTAGTTAATTCGAATCTTAACACAGTTCTTTTTCCATGAATGAAATTTTCTTTCTAGCTGATCCTTTTGATAGTCTTTGATTTTATCACAAGTTAGAATGTTCATGTGTTTTCCAATGAAAACATTGGACAATTCTTCTTGCACATTATAAACACAATCGGCAGTGATATAATTATTATTTTATCACACAGGACATTGGATAATGATATGTCCTGCACACAAGTTAGTATATATAAGGCTCCATGATGATGAACCCAGATATGAATATTTTGGATTACTTGTGGTTTCTAGAATTTGATTCCACTGATGTGTTCCAGTGTTTATGAACACAGTTAAGTCTTCGTCGTTTCTTTTTGTTTTACATGTATGAAGTGTCCATGATTTAAGTTGCAACAGGTGATATTTGATGCTACATGCCATGAGCTGTCAGATAGAAAATACATAATGGTAGTATATAGTCACTACACCTTAATTTTTATTTCATTCTCCATGTTTTTGTTCAAAAAAGTCGTGCTATGTTCAGCAGCATAAATCATGTAACATTTGCTACTATGTTCATATCTTTCTTCTCCATACTACTGTCAGTCTGGATGACTACAAAATCTGAGAATAAAAATAAAAGCAAACGAAATGAAAAAAAAAAAACTTTTACTCCATTTATGACAGGTTAGCATTGCTTTAAAAAACACAATTCATAGATGAATAGTTGGCCTTTTAAGTGTTTTATATATCGATATCAGTTTCAGAAGGAAATGCAATGAGGAATTCCAAGTAAATTAGAAAGAAAATTTAAAATTACCATAATAGAGAAATGTTATTCGTATTGATATTTTTTAATTTTGATGAGAAAGACTTCACATTTCAAGACAAATATTTAAATAAACTGTCATTATGTAGCTTAGGATATAAAGAACAAATAATAAATTTCAGATTTTAATTAGAAATGTTCGCTTTGTTTCCTTTGGACTTGTGCAAACAACGTGTGTTTTTCTAACAATAAAATTTGCAATCGAACAATAAAATATATTTTAATTAGACATGATGACAAGAACTGTAATGTGAATATTCCTTATGCATTTTGTAATATATTCCTTAAATTTCAGTAACTTAAATCTCTGACACTAATTAAACAAATGTGAGACACGTGAATTATTATACGTTAAATGTGCATTTTATTCAAAGAATGAATGACAAAAAGGGTAATTGAAAAAAGTAAAATGCTTTTAAACATTTATCAATTACTATCCTTGACAACATCTTAACATACATAAAATACCAATTTAATAGCAAAGAAAATGGTTTCGAGTCATCATGGAAACATTTCCATCTTTTGAAAGTTTATTTAATGGTTAAAAGGGGAAAGGTTATAAAGGTATACACACCGATCTCACCGTTTCAATTAATTAATGCAATGTTGTCTTGTGTTTGTCCTATTTTGTTGACAATGGCAAGTAAAGAGCATTTTCAGTCTTTAGGAAAATACAACGTTTGTTACGAAATAGAGAAAATAAGAATCCCTAAAGAAAAACCCAACACGGCATAG